AACACAAGCAATTAATGGGAATACGAGTCAAACAAACAAACATCAACCATCTCCTGGAGGAAAACACAACTCCTCAGGAAGTTGGTGTGTGACTTGTGAGTGTTTTTCATTACACTGTTGGCTCTACTGGCTCTGTGTACAGTCGTCCATCAAAACAGCATGTTTTACTTTTTCCACACAACCTGAAAAACAAACTATAGCACAGAGTGGACAGTAGCATTGCTGCGGATGAAGGATTTGCACCACAAATGTGTCCTTACATCGGATTTCAGTGAAGACTTATTATCTGCGCAAATCGTGTCTTATTTCCTACTTAGTGCATCACATTTAAGCTTTCAAAATCCCTGGTAAAACAGTTGGACTTCCTCGGGATAAAGTGTCCAGAATGTCAATGCACTGCTTAATAAACTGCTGAGTCATCATTATGTCAGCAATAATGAAGGGGACAAACGTGGGAGACACAGAAACTAATGTGAAAACTACATGGAATCCAGAGTCACCTCGGGAGCAAGGTCATTTTCAGGAGTGACTGTGTTTATAAATGAGAATAAGTGTCTTTATATCAAGATGACTAAACTGTACAGACAAAGCAGCGCCCCCTTCAGGCTTAAATTACCAGTGTGAAACTTCCGTTGCATCAAACCAGTATACCTTCCTTTACTTTAGACATGTTTTATTCAGTTGTCAACAATGATTCTTCATTGCAGACAGAAATAAACTCAAAGGAAATATATGAAAACAAAACCAGAAGCAAACTTTTACTTCTCCCCTGTGCTTCAGATCTAAAAATCGAATTATGCTCTATTAAAAAAATGTCCTTATAATGTCATAATGTTATTTTAAACTGCTGTCCACTCTATTAAAAAAGGAGATTATACAGAAAACCCCAACATACATCATCTTTTCCCTCCGTATATCACACGATATTCCACTGAATGAAGTTATAATATCCTGGAGTCTGGCCCGCTGTGAGCTCATGAATTATTCCGAGGTAAGGGTCATTCATCATTTTCATCAGATGAGGGGGGGGGCTGGCTGGCTGGCAGTGGGCTGTGTGTGTGCAGCTCACCTTGGGACACGGTAAGGGGCTAGAGAATGCATTATACCAATGAGTGTCCTCACTAAGACAGATGTACAAACATGTGTGTGTGTGTCTGTGTTTTCTCATGCACTGCATCAATGAGTGACTGAATCTGTGTCTGCTCCTTCCCTTCGTGCTGTGACACTGTATTCAATGTGTGAAGTGACAAGTGAATTATTGATATCATTCTTCTTCACCCCCCCGGCAGTAGAAGTGGTGAAAAAACACATGGTACCTAGCTGGCAACCTGCAGAGACCCGCTGTTAATGACCTCACACTCGCAGCAGTAATATGACTCAATTAAGCTCTTTTCAGACACAATCACTGGCATTTAATTTAATTTGTTTGGGTTCGATCATGCATAAAGACGCTGACTGAATGGAGTAACACAAAGCAGGTTGCAGACACTGTTAAAAGTGTGAGTGCTAATTGGTGTAATCAAGAGGACAGAGGGAGGCAGACGAAGAGAACGAGCAGAACTGTCCTCATCGGTGTGCGGAGTCAGCAGTGATTTTTTTGATGGACTTCTTGTTGCTGTGGTTACCTGAGTGCGGTGCAGAGCCTCCACGACTGTAGAGGGGAGGAGCCTGGAAGGCGTAGACCACGTCGCTGTCGGCGATTGCCGTCAGGTCGTCATCATCTGAAAAGGAGCGCTGGAAACCGGTGGAGTACAACTCTGACAGGATAACCTGAAGGGGGACGGACACAGGGAGAACATTTTAAGAAAAGGAAATGGAGTACCAGTGTTGACCAGGTTACTTATTCTAGAAAAAAAAAACTTCCAGAAATGAACCAACAATGATAAAGTCTACAGGTTAAATCAAAGAATTCCAATTGAACTCAATGGAATCAAAAAAGGGAGGGAGAGGTTGTGTGTGTGTGTGTGTGTGTGTGTGTGTGTGTGTGTGTGTGTGTGTGNTGTGTGTGTGTGTGTGTGTGTGTGTGTGTGTGTGTGTGTGTGTGTACCTGGTCCGGGGAGATTTTACCCTCCTCTGCCACCATGGCTCTCAGACAGGACAGGGTACCAAGGAGAGGTACAGCCAGACCCACCCGCAGATACCTCTGACCCTTCGTACTGAACACCAGCGTCACACACATCGGCCTGTGGGGCAAACAGAAGGAGGGAGGGAGGTGGGGTGAGTTAGTGTGTGTATGTTTGTGGGTGGGGGGGCAGGAGGACAGAGAGAGAAGGGCAGACGACGCAATGCTTCACGTTACTGTAGAGGATTCTGGCACAACCCCCCCAACTTCTATAATATATGGAGATAAATAGGTCCATAAACTCCAGCTACACTTATGACATATAAATATATTTGACATCTTAAAGGTTCAGTGTGTAAGATTTCGGTGAAAGGGATTTTTGGCAGAAATTGAATATAAAATAATCCTAGTGATGTTTTTACTGGTGTGTTTCATCTAAATTGTATGAATTGTTCTTTTCTGTCGTCCAGACTGGACAAACTCAAACTTTTTGAGTTGTTATGACAATTGAAGTTCACCACAGGTTCTCTTTCATGTTCGGAAGAGGGTGAGGCGAGGGGTGTTCAGCTGCAACATGCAACTTCACCACTAGATGTCACAACATTCTACACACTGAACCTTTAACATACTACAATAGGGCGTTTTTTGATTTCCCAGGGAATAATTCAGGGATCTTCATGACGAGCATAAAGCTTGATTGAATTCACAGGAACTGTTCGAGGAGGTATGTGCTCTACTAAGTGCTCTTCTAATGTTTCAGCTTCCTAACAGCAAAAAAGAGGATAAAATGCACTGTTGATCTGTTTAATGACCAATTAATGTTGGGGAAAAGATTTCCTCTGACGATACTGTTCAAATTTTATGAGCATAAATTGTCTGATTCATCTGCGTCTGATTTAATATCTGAAGATGATTTGACCATTTTCTGATGTTGGAGTGTTTCATATTTCCCTTGTGTGTGTATGCGTGTGACTAGATATGCCGGAACATTGTTGATTCTCCCACAGGACGCTGCTGTGTGCTGGGACATGTCTGAATTACAGCAATTTGAACACCTCCTGTAAGGGATGCAAGGATGAAAATGACAAGAATGAGGAGGGAAAGTGGGGAAATAAATTAAATAGAGGACGGGGATCTGCTGTAACTAAGGATGGAGTTCAATGTGAGTGAACGGAATAAAAGACAAGAAAAAACAGAGCAGGAAGAGAGAGTAAGGTCAGGCCTTCTCATTTGGAATGAAGATGGTGCAATCGCTGACACCTCTGCTTCCTGTTTCCCATCATGTTTTATTCAAGCGAGGAATGTGTAAGCAGTGGGGAGCTTGACAGGGCAGACCGCGGGGGATCTGAGCAGCTGTTTTGTTTACGTTGTTAGATGCTCGAGACACCGACACGTGAAATGAAACGGGATGAGAGTTGTGTGACACTCGAGAGGAACAGGAAACACAGATATCTTCTTAAAAGGCAGGTTCACGGCAGCCTCGTGACGGTTTAGTATTTGATGGCCTTCACTTCTGTAACATTAACTAATCCATGTCAGTGTTTGAATTATACAGATGTAATAACCATACAATATAAACAGCCATGTGTTTCTGCATGTTGTAGAACAATTACTACAACTCCTGTAAACTTCAACCTTCTCCACAATGCTCTTATTGTTTGGTTTGTCTGTTCAAATTCATGCCATGCTAGTAAACAAGTTAAACATGTTTTTTTCTTACAAAGTTGGCATCTAAGACTTGTAAGACTTGCAATGTTCTTTCACAAGTGAGTTTTCTAAAATAAAAAGTGTTAAGTAAGTAATAAGAATTGATAAGAATAACTATTCCTACCTGCTGCTGTGCAGTTCAAAGACGACATTAGCTCTTTTAATGGACGCATGTTTTAACATACAAAACATACAAAATGTACATTATGATCCTGGATTTACAGCTGGTTTGAGCTTGAGATGTTACTGCTGATGTTAACTCTCAAAGCACCTTCTGTGGTCAGTGTATTGATTCAGTTTACTACATGTTTAATTTTCATGGTAAAGCCCACGATGCTTCACAGAATCAACAAACTTGGTCTATTGTAACTCTTCTGAGACCCCAATTGGCCAAAGTTACATATTGTACTTTTAAAGTGCATTAGGACCTGTTATATATTTGATTAAACACTGACAGGATTTACAGTATGAATTAATTTCACATCCTTAACATAACAGAAAACAAGTATTGCTTGGGCTCGACCAAAAAAAACGTCTATATGGTTGATTGGTCTAAAGTAAACTAAACAGTTCTGTAAAACTGTCATGTGTATAGTTCAATGGCAAACACAGAGGACAGAATCCTCCTTCTTTTCTCTCTTGTACTGGTATTATCTGCTGCACCCAGGCCTCGATGCCATGCTGCCAGACCCCGCTGCGTCTCTGGGGGCCTCAAACTTATCAGGCATTCTGCTGGGATACTGCTGCAGCAGGACGGTGCACTGAGGCCACTGTGTGTGTGTGTGTGTGTGTGTGTGTGTGTGTGTGTGTGTGTGTGTGTGTGTGCGTGTGCGTGTGCGAGTGCATTCGTGTATGTGTGTATTAGGACTGCGTGAGGCCGGCACTCTACCATGAACCTGAATGAATTTCCCTTTATGCTGAGCTGCATCGACAGACCACACACTGTCAGAGGACTCACTCTGCAAGTTCAGGGTGAGCGCAGTGGAAGCCATGCAGAGAGGATGCAGAGCAGAGGCGTCTGCATGTTTGAAGATAGGAGGATTCATCCAGCACTGGATGAAGGCAAATTGAGAAACTTGTGAAGTGACTTGAAACTTTTTTTTTTTTGTTTCTTTCCCTTTTAGATATTTTATGGTAAGACTGAGAGAGAGGGATTTACTTGGGACAAAATCTATTGAGGTTACATACTGCGCTGTGGTCACTATGCCCCACTATTACAAACTCTAAAACGGGTCTGCACACACATCTTTAGGGACCTTAACCCTATCAGGTGACACAAATCTAATATGAGACTGAAGAGGATGTTATTGAAACACAGCCTGGCAATCTTCATCTTTCAATTTTCATCCCAAATTATATTTAAAAATTAAATTATATTCAAAATTTTTAAATGAAAAAAAAAGCGCCCCACACATATAGTACTTTGCTCTTCTGGATATTTGGGGTTTTGTATTTTCTCTGCGAGTCATATGTGGTTATCAGCAAAATGATGTGATGATAATCATTCTGATATCAGACTAATGCTGTTTACCTTTCACAGGAATTACAATGTCTATAACTGTACAATATGTCACAGAGATGTAAAAACATGAGACCAAGGGCAGTTTTTTTTTTCTGGTGCGCGCCTCTCTTCTCCTCTCTCTCTGCTGTGTGTGTGTGTGTGTGTGTGTGTGTGTGTGTGCCGCGAGCCACAGCAGATCTGCGATGGCCAAGCGCGAGCCAACACATACATAAAAATATATATTCCAATAGTAGTTACAGTGTTTGAAAAGGATTTATTTCTCTTCATTATTTAAATATTAGTCGACTCCTGAAAATTGTTCTAACAGCCCCACTGTACGTACACAAACACACACAAGGTCCTCAGAGATCAAGGTTTGTGATTCCTGGGTGTGTAGGAGCAGAGCTGCTGTGTCTTGTAGCAATCATCGTGTCAGTAAAGCATCCAAACTCCAAACTTTCTGTGTCACTCTTCACAGACGGTTTTTGGTCAGGAACTTTTTATTACCAGCATTTATCAATTTGATATGACCAGGGGACGATACTATAACAGTCCGAGTGTTCTTCTGCAAAAGCGTGCCTACACATGTGTTTGTGTACAGGGTCATATTTATCAAATGTCCCTCTGAAACATGTCCTCTCATGGTGCATCTGTTTTGATCAATGGCTTTTTTCTACTTATTCACTGAGGCACGTCATTCTGCTCCATAGGGCAGTTGAAATGATCATATTCACTGGATATCACTGATATCAGGTGACAGCCCCACACATCCAGAGTGTCAACATCCCAGCAGCTGAGAAAAGCTTTTGCTTGTCCAAACAGTTTTGAGACTGACAGGAGATTTGCCCTATAAACCAGAGAAGGGTCAAATATTCCTAACAACTATGCTCAACACATGTACTCAGACCACAGATACACAAAAAAATCACTAACAACTAAGTTTGGTCAACAACAGCAATAGTTGAAGTTAATATGGGTTTGACTGTGTAATACATTACCTGGTTTGTCGTAGCGGGATCGGCAAGGAGATGCATAAAAACGGGTCAAAGGTGTTGCTCTGCTTAAGGCAATGAGGGCACGTCAGAGAGGACCTGAAGAGAGACAGAGACAAAGAGCACATTTGAATCACTTGGGTCAAGTAGGACCTGAGCTCCAGCATGAAGGTTCCAAGCTCAAATCCCAGTTTGGGCTCTTTCTGTGTGGAGTCTGCACATTCTTCCCATGTCTGTGTTAATTTTCTACAAGTACTCCCACTTGCATGCATGCATGCCTGGATGGATGGATGACCTCAGCTCTCTTATGTTTAGATAGTCTAGACATCCCTTTTCCAAATTTATCAAGCTTTATTCAATTTAGGTATGAATGGCCATATAGAAAAACACCTTTCACTTTACCTGACACTATACATTGCACAGATGGATCGACAGACATTGCTGTCTCTTAATGCCAAATCCCCACATGTACTCTCAGGTATTGAGTAAATGTGAAGATGAAATTAACTGTCTGATGTAGTGCATGGTGATTAAATGGTGGTGGTGAATACCAAGCACTGAAAAAGGACATCTGGACTGGGAACAGGGAAGCAAAGCAACAACGGTGGGATGCTGTTCAAAATCCTGTGCACAAAAAAAAAGGCAGGTGAGATACTGCAGTACATGAAAAGGGCTGCGTGCTTTAAAACATACTGAGCTAGAGAAAAGGAAGGAGTGCTATGGAGAGAGAGGGAAAAAAGATAAAGGGAGGGAAGGTAAAGGATGAAAGGTGAAGAAGATATTTAAAGACAGAGGGAATGGTAACGAGAAAGGGTTCAGCTGGGAAAAAAAGGGAACAAAGATGACTTGACACTAAAATGAAGGGCAGCAGATAGTGGATATTGGAAAGGCAGAGGAGACAAAAGGAGAGCAAAGAGATGGAGATGAAGAGAAAGACAACAAAGTGCTGGGCTCAGTGGGAGGACAGATTAAAAATGAACAGAGGGTTGGCAGCAGGACAGTTGAACTGGGAAAAAAAAACTAGAAAGCAGAAGCTGGGGGAGAGGAAGACACAGACAGGACCTGGTTAAGGTCTTTGAGCTGACAGGAAGAGGGCTGATCAGAGAGGAGGCATGACAAGAGGAATACTACTAATGGACGTGTGTGTGTGTATATATATATTTGTGTGTGTGTTTTATTTTCAATAACAAGTAAAATATTGATTGTTGCAGTGCAATCATTACATATTATCACTGCAATATACAATAGATCACTATATTCGTTTCTGGGTACAACGATTCTTTTCTACTGTACCTGTATATATTTAGAGGACCCCCCCTTGTCTTTACCTACATACTTCTCCCTGCTACATTCACACAAATTTATAGTCACGCTTACAACAGTGGCAGATGGAATTACTACCATAAACACATCTTAAGCCAAAATATCCCAGACACAGATGCACTTGCACATTGGGAGTCAGAGTCTGCTCAGTACCAATCAGTGGATGGAGGTGTGTTCGCAATACCCACGCTCAACCAATAACAAATCAGTCTCAGCTGTCAATCATGTTTCAATCTGTTTTTAATAGAAGCAAATAAAAAAATTAGGTCAAATCAGGGAATACGGTCTGATACAGCTCTTATGGGGAGAAGTCATGTCGTGGATCTTTAAACACAGTCCTCCATGGCTAATCCATTAAAATGTATAAAAATAACCATTAGTTGCACAGTAGACACTTATAAATACACTTTCTTTTTTTTATAAACATGATAAAACTAAATCCAACTGTTACCTTTGGACAAACAGGCTAGTCGCGTCCTCCTGTCGTCATGAAAATCTGAGCTAACTGACTGCTAGCCATAATACTAAAACAGCCGTAGGCTAACGAGCAGTTTTATTGCTCGACAACACACTAACCTGTGATTCAGTAAATATTTGAGGAACATCTGTATTCCAGTCTCAGAGATTTCTCAGGAAAACCTCAACATGTCTTCACTGCAGAGAGGACTGTGACACAAACAAACAGGGAAACAAACAGGGGCCTGATGCTGAAACAGAGAGCGGGGACAGATGAGCAAATACAGTCATATTCACCTCTGACTACTTAATCCACAGAAAGGTTCCCTCGTGTGGGTAAAGCTTCTCTTTATTTAATCTTAAGAAACCATGACCAGAGTCTGGCTTCAGACAACCTGTTGTTCTTGGACTGAAATCTGTAATCTAACCTTTTCATATGGCAATCATGTGAAAAAACACATTCAGTTTGTTCTATTGTCACATAATCCTCTCAGTGTAGGAATGTAATCCTATTACTCACTTGTTGTCATTCACTGGCAAACCATTACATTTTCTATTCTTGTTCAGAGCTCTGAAGTAACTTAACAGACATGGCGTAGGTTGATGTTTATCTCCGTCAGAGGGAAATCTTTTGTCCTTTATAGGTTTTAACAAGCTCAACACTGCTGAGGTGGCAGTTTGTCATTAGAACTCTTATATAAATGTACTTTAAATAAGAAAAAATGATAGTGTGGATATACAGTAGCTTTTTAATGTCCTATTAGCAGTACATTTCTTGTTTGTATTTGATAACTGGTGGAAAGGGTTGCTTCCTAATGCTCTCTTCTCACTGACAGCATTAATACAGTGTGTACACATGCATGTGTGCATGTTGCCAGAAGCAAACTTGTCAAATGTACAAATACGGTGGAAATAATAGAAAAGTTTTCAAAGTCCATGTTAGTTTCCTCACTGTCAGTGTGCCGTGACAGCCAGCCACAGCCTCGCTAATGATGCCAGTTTGTAGTCAGTATAGCAGACTGACAGGCTGCACACCCACCCACCCACACACCCACACACACGCGTACATACACACACACGTACACACACGCACACGTACACACACGCACACACACACACACACTTGTCTCTAAGTGGATTGTGCATTAATCTAATCCAAAAATCTGCATAAAAACAGTTTTATACTTTAACAGCAGTGAAAGAGATCAAGCAGCAAAATCAACAACTGAACAGGGCAGCAGAGGAAACTGATCTGTAATGATTGATTTCACAGATAAAGGGTGTTGACTTTGTTAAACATCTCCTTTATTGTTAAGTTTTATTTTTGGTCTTGTCAACCACTATTTTCGTCGCAGTTTTAATTAACAAAATGAATACTGTTGCCAAAAGGCAGATCCTCATGGCACAAAGAAATCTTCACAATCTTCTCAGAATAAAAAGTTTTTTTCAGCCAGGAATAGCAAAACTGAAAAACACACAGCAAACAGCAGCAGCAGACTCATTGATGGATTTAGTAAGCCAAAGAAAATGTATTTATGAATCAATTCTTTACTAAATGAATTCCCTGCAGGCGGCTGTAAATGATGAATGATCCAGTGTGCAGAATACATATTTATAGCATCGACTGTTTGTAGTAAAACATCACTGACCATTCATCAGCCAGCCTCAGGCTCATCCTGCTTTGATGTGAACGCACACATCAGAACCACTAGAGTCCTGTTTCAGAACTTTTTGAGCAATTATCAATACTCCACATCTGATACAATGATTCTTAAGAAAGTGAGCATAGTGTGACGTGCTCTTTATGGTTAAGAATCACTTTTATGTTTCACAAAGATTTTTTGTTTTGAATCATCTGACATTTAACCAAGAGCACAATTTGAAACTGAACAAGTATTGATGGGTTTGATCCCGAGCACAAGGGACCTGTGTGAATGGGTGAATTTGACTTTAAGACAAGAAAAGCATTATTTAAAATAAAATGTCTGAGGGAAACCTAGGACATGGATGGCAGTCGAACAAATGCAAATATGCTTGTATTGTCTAAAAGTTTTTCATAATTACAAAAAGTTAATTATCTGAACAAAATGTAATTACTTGGTACAAAAACTTAGGAGATTGAGTCTGCCTGGAAATTTGAAAATCTATAGTGCAGTAAGTTGCCTTGTGGCTTTTTGTTTTCTCAACTTTTTTACAGTATAAAAGACAGACACTAAGAATCTAAGGCATCCAAAGATATTCTGTTGATACTAGTCCTCTCACCACGCTGAAGAAAACTGATGTTTGTTGACAGATAATTTTATTTAGTCAATAAACACACTGGCATTATCGCCTTAACACAACCACAGCAAACCAAGAGGTGCATATGTGACAGTTCTCCACACGTCAGTCTTCCTCCTGACTGACAGAGAAAGAGCCCAGAGAGTTAATCTTCCTCTGTCCGCCTGTCAATCAGTGTGTCACTGGCCGTGGATTGGAGGGCACTCATCTCTCTCTATCAGAAAATACAGCGTCCTGTCAGGGGAAATTAACTCAGCTAAAGTGGCTGCTGACACACACACACACACACACACACANACACACACACACACACACACACACACACACACACACACACACACACACACACACACACACACACACACACACACACACACACACACACTCAGTGTCACCTTCATACTTAAGTTTCCTCCTTCCTGGATGAAAGTAACTGACTAATTAACTGGGTGATAAATGGGTTCACGTCAGCTTGTTGAATGAGTAACAGAAGTTACCTGAGCACGTGGACTCGTGTCAGTGGAGACAACAGAAGTCTGCATGGCAACAGTTTGGTTTTACATCCATGTTGTTCAACGTAAAACAAACAACTAAAAACCAAAAACTCAAAAAGCAGCGTTTCAGCAAGTGGGGGAATTGAAACAACTGCTTCTCTTTCACTCAGTCGCTCTTCATCATTTTCCTTTATCTCCAATGCTTTCGCTCTCATGCACTCTTGCTCTCACCTAATTGCTTCATCATTTCTTGGTGTGCAGTGCTGGAAGAGACATGATTACGTGACTCATCCTCATCCAGTTCTGAGGAGGGGCACTGCCAGTTCCTCTGTGGTTATTAAAAAACAGCAATAAATACTAATAGACCAAACTGATATGGTTATACATACTGTGTGTAGTAAGGGATTGGGACGGGGATGGCTGAGGGCTTTTTAAATCGATCAACAAGGGCTGTCGACAGCCAGACGCATCACCAGTCAGCTGATAATGACGCCGCTCTGTGCTCCGTTAAAACACTGCAACTGCTTTGGAGGCAACGTTGTGAGT